TTTAATTATGTAGATTAAAAGACCACCTTTGTCTGTAGATTCATTCATAAAACGAGACTACACTGCTAACACATGTACTGGCTTCACCCAATTTGACTGAAAATGGGGAATAAAATAATATAAGGTCATTAGATTTGTCCCAAGATACTCTCATTAAAAATGTTAATTAGTTGAGAGGCAAAACAAAAGATTGCGAATTTCAATCACCATATGGCTGATCAACATATCAATGAGGTGTGCTTTTATTTTGACCATGTCAACACAACTCGGTCACTCAATGAATGTGGGACAGTGAGTTAACAGACCAACTAGTACTTGATAGCATGGAACTAAACACATGACCTTGACTAGTTTCATGTTTCCAGTGAGTCTGGATAATCAACGGACACAGTGGATCAAACGTATTAGAATGAAAATGTAGAAATGAACAAAGAAAAAAACAAAAAACGTATCTCATAATATACCCATCTAGGAGTGCAAGTCAAAGACAAATTTCTAGTTAAAAAAAGAAAGAAGAGAAATACAAAACACTAGGCTTTAGGAATGAAGCAACCTCCAGGCAACACATTACATACTAGGTTTTGAGAAAAACGAATATGAAAAGCCATTAAGTTTACGAGAAGCAGAACTTCACAAGGTATAGAAGCCACTGAAGAAGGACCCGATCAATGCCATTCATTACATTATAATAAACATTCCACTCACCGACAACCAGTCATTCAACCACTATCAGCTCCTTGCTTAATCCAGAGACGGACAGAACTGTCCAAGGCAAGCGGTGTTGTTACAAATGAAAACTGTTAGGACATTCCCCCAAGCCTATGCTTTTGTAGCACAGGAAGGAGTGAATCACCATTACATACTGACTAGTCAACATAGTCGGTGAGTAATACTAAACCGACAGCCGCTCTATGAACTCAAAAAGGAAGTCATTTGAGTATGCGCCCCCATTTTTAGTTCCTGTTTTATGTTATGTCCATAATGACTCAACTCTGTACAGGGATTCTCTATCCTTATGTACCAGTGATTAGTACTTCTCTATTTCTCGTTAGGAACGTTTTCTTTAAAAACAAGTTATATATAAGGTAGAGCCTAGCACAGAAAGTGTTGCCAAGAGAATTAAATTCACAGTTTTGAATGTCATAATCAGTCTGGTTTTATGGACATTTCAGAGACATTAATTTAGCTACTGATAACTGTTATCAATTCCAACCAATAAAAACACTCCCAAAGCTTTGATGCTCTCCTCTCACTGTATCCCCCCCCCCCTCCCCACCAGCTAGACTACAGCATATGACATCAGAGGGATATTGGAGACTTAATCCCTTCGCCCCCAGGGACAAGTTAAAAAGTTAAAACAGAGCCTTGTACAAATCATGCTAACAGTGGATTAGGAAAAGTGAAGTCACACCATCAGTTTCACATGGTAGGTGAAAAATAAAATATCATTGAATTTTGTTATTTTTTTAAATCAAGCTTGTAGAAGTATTGACAAATATATTTTACAAATTTTCAAAGCTGTTACCTTTTGAATCAACTTTTTATTCACAAATTTTGATTAGGATTAGTATTCAATGATAAACTGTCAATTTATTCCAAAGTTTATAACAAAATGATACATGCAGTTAATTGCATAAAATTTTGCAAAATGTTGGGAGGAAAAATTAAGGCCATTCAATAATTAATATTACACAGGTCGGTAATTTTCACAGTGAAAGAATAAATGTTTCAGTCTACAGCAATGGAGTGAGAACGAAAGGGATTTTTGAGTGAACCAGATATTTTCCAATGTGATACTAACAGTACTGAAACTGAACATAAAGCAATGTCTTAGTGTGGGGAAAGATCCTGCGGAGGAGACCGAAAAAAGGGGGTCAAAGACGATAAAAAAAAGAGGACATGGCTTCTTGTTTGTTCAACATAATGAAATGTTGTGGTTTCAAGTGGAGCATGAAATGGAAAAAAAAATGGTTGAAACAAAAGTGGTATGCCACCTAACCTAAGAAAGCTTTTTATCTACCACACTGGGCTCTGTCCAAGAATGTGTGCACACAGGATCTGGGCTTTCAGAAAGTTTCATTTGCATAAGAAAGTATTTGCCCTCTCTACTTGAATGGTTTCAGAGATAACAATGCTTTGTGTCTGCAATGCATTGTGGGAAGCCACATAACAGCAGGATTAGCGAGATAAGAGCTGGCCACCTCACATGCAGACTTCCATGCACAATACATGAAAAAAAAAAATCATGAAAAAAAACAATTGTATGATATATTATCCATTCTGGTTAGTGATTAATAAAGAAAATCTGTTACATAGAGATATGTTCTTTAAATGGCTCAGCATGCTAGGGGGTCCTGATTCAGCTGAATGGTGGTGATTGTACTCCAGTTTCATTTGTACACTGTATACACGTAGTGATCGAAGGACATACGAATAGAACTCATACAGGTAGAAATCCAGTAGCACTATGTCAACATTGCCTTTCAATCAATACACCCATTCATCCTTCAAAAAGGATGAAGAAAAAAAACACACTTTTATGATAAATTCAATGCAAAATGGGCATTGTACACAGCAATTATGTTGCCATGGGTAACCATTATGGTACAACGTTTTTTAAAAAAACAAACTTTTTTCTGAGAATGTAAACAAAATGGCTGTGGTTTTGTGTATCAAATAATTTTAATGTTTTTTTTTACTTCAATCATGATGCAATCTGCATTTCACAGAAACTCAAAAATACACTTTATGAGAAAAATTATATTTAATAATTTATAATAGACACGCTTAGCAGCCAGATAGACGAATTATCACAAAATATTAAAATTTCCAAGGTAATTACAAAACCATTGACGAATTATAATATAAAAGTCAATGAACTGAAAACAAACCCCCATTTACGCATAACAGCTATTATTTTCATGTTAATGAGCAAATATTTCATAGTTTTGGCTTAATAATTCGTTTGATGAAGTGACTATATTCCCTGGTAATATTGCGAAAACAGAAGTGTGCCTTAGCCTATAATGGTTGACCAAATAATAGCGCCATTATATTTGGCATATTTTCAGGGCCAATTTGTCTAAAAGCAAACACTATCCATCTGCCATTCTATCGGCTCTATGAAACATGCTGGTCACAAAAATCAATGAGAATGGAACCATTTATTATTTTGAATTGTTGGCGCTTTTACTACGTGACTAATTATAACTGAAAAGGAAGGAAAAGGAACACTTTTCGGAATAGTTTTGCACGAGATTTCCCTATTTTTTAACAAATGAATGTTGTCATTTTAAGGTAATGGTGAACGTACTATATTTACACAAAAAAAATGTAAATGTGTATATAGTACAGTTTCAATATATCTATATATTCACATCCAATATTATATGCAGGAATAAGATTACTCGTATATGGAGGCTTACTAGTGAATGTCATACATTGTTATTTTTAGTGTAGTATGAGTCCTATTTATTATGTTTACATAAACCCACCCACAGCATTTTAATTGTGTACTCAAAGAATTTTTAAAAATTTTGTGCAAAAAAATCAAATTGACTCCAGCCAACTCATTCAATGGCAGACTCTGGCCAACTCATTCAATGGCAGACTCTGGCCAACTCATTCAATGGCCGACTCCAGCCAACTCATTCAATGGCCGGCTCCAGCCAACTCATTCAATGGCCGGCTCCAGCCAACTCATTCAATGGCCGGCTCCAGCCAACTCATTCAATGGCCGGCTCCAGCCAACTCATTCAATGGCCGGCTCCAGCCAACTCATTCAATGGCCGGCTCCAGCCAACTCATTCAATGGCCGGCTCCAGCCAACTCATTCAATGGCCGGCTCCAGCCAACTCATTCAATGGCCGGCTCCAGCCAACTCATTCAATGGCCGACTCCAGCCAATTCATTCAATGGCCGACTCCAGCCAACTCATTCAATGGCCGACTCCAGCCAACTCATTCAATGGCCGACTCCAGCCAACTCATTCAATGGCCGACTCCAGCCAAGTCATTCAATGGAAGGCTCCAGCCAACTCATTCGATGGCTGACTCCAGCCAAATCATTCAATGGCTGACTCCGGCCAAATCATTCAATGGCTGACTCCAGCCAACTCATTCAATGGCTGACTCCAGCCAACTCATTCAATGGCTGACTCCAGCCAACTCATTCAATGGCTGACTCCAGCCAACTCATTCAATGGCTGACTCCAGCCAACTCATTCAATGGCTGACTCCAGCCAACTCATTCAATGGCTGACTCCAGCCAACTCATTCAATGGCTGACTCCAGCCAACTCATTCAATGGCTGACTCCAGCCAACTCATTCAATGGCTGACTCCAGCCAACTCATTCAATGGCTGACTCCAGCCAACTCATTCAATGGCTGACTCCAGCCAACTCATTCAATGGCTGACTCCAGCCAACTCATTCAATGGCTGACTCCAGCCAACTCATTCAATGGCTGACTCCAGCCAACTCATTCAATGGCTGACTCCAGCCAACTCATTCAATGGCTGACTCCAGCCAACTCATTCAATGGCTGACTCGAGCCAACTCATTCAATGGCTGACTCGAGCCAACTCATTCAATGGCTGACTCGAGCCAACTCATTCAATGGCTGACTCGAGCCAACTCATTCAATGGCTGACTCGAGCCAACTCATTCAATGGCTGACTCGAGCCAAGTCATTCAATGGCCGGCTCCAGCCAAGTCATTCAATGGCCGGCTCCAGCCAACTCATTCAATGGTCAACTCCAGCCAACTCATTCAATGGCCGATTCCAGCCAACTCATTCGATGGCCGACTTCAGCCAACTCATTCGATGGCTGACTCCAGCCAACTCATTCGATGGCCGACTCCAGCTGCAAAACAACCCGATTGTAGCCTTGGTTTGTAAACATGACCATGTGTGTTGCTACATGTAGTTTGAGACATGTGGATATTGGAGGTTATTGTGGAATTGTAACAAGACTGGGTGGGTCATCAATGAGATCTTACCTTGCTGTCGTTTTCATCCACTGGATTCCCTGAGTGATGATAGTGAGGTGAATGCTGCATTGGATGATGTCCACTAGCAAAAGATTCTGAAATAAACCAAAATATAAAAAACATTATTATTATATTCTGGAATATACCTAAGTTGTTGACATCATTTTTTCCATTTTATTTCGGCTATTTATGGGGACTTTCAGCAGGTTGTTACACCTGGTTACACCTAGACAACTGGTTGAAAAATTCTAGCGCTAAGTCCAGACGCTCGTATCAATATAGCTGAATACCAACCGT